TATTAGAATCAGATTCCTCGCCTTCTCCATCAGACTCTACAAGTTTCTTCTTGCCTTTCGAAGAAGATTTCTCTTTTTTGTTCTTTTCTTGGAAGATATTGACGAGCTGTATGAGAGTCGAACTCATTGTCTCTATCTGTTTCTCTAATGCATCTAGCCTTGCTGAACTATCTCCTTCAGTAATCTTATTCTTCCTTAATTTCTGTACCCATTCCAATAAAATAAGGATCTCGCCTAACTTCTTGTATTACGATCGATTTAGGACCATATACAGGATGCCCCCTTCATAGGATCTGATCACTCTGATACCAACTTGATACGAGTCGTCGTGCGAGCACCTTTGATCGTGGAATTATCAAAGGTGAGTTGAGAAGAGGAAGACAGAAACACAAGAATAATTCAGTATGTGACGAAGAAAAATACCCTCTCTAGATTATGAGTATGAAAAAAATTACAATCCCTCTCTCACAATCTCACTAGAACCAAGAACAAACTCTCAATTCTCTCTAAACCCTAATCTCTCTTAATTAGAATCTCTCTTTTTACATCTGATTTATTAGAAACCATAAAACAATCCCTTATATAGGTGTAATAACATGGATGGTAAAGTGGTAAATAACTAAGCCCAAACCGCACAGGAATTCGTGCAAACAGAAACCCAAACAAACCATGAAACCATCGATGAGTCAACTCATGTGCATGTATGAGTTGACTCATGTCATATGGGTCGACTCATGATAGTCATGAGTCGACTGGTCAAAACTATGTCAACACCTGCTGGGTCTCGTGAGTCGACTCATGACAATCATGAGTCGACTTATGACACATGGGTCGACTCATAATAGTCATGAGTCGACTGGTCAGAAACTTTAACAAAACGTCTTGGTCTCGTGAGTCGACTCATGACAGGCATGAGTCGACTAAACCTGATGAGTTGACTCATGAGATGTATGAGTCGACTCACAGGCTGAAAACTGGATGCTTGGATTCTTCGATTCGCCATCTCGTTTTGTGCTTCGACATGCATTTCACTGTATTGTTTTATACCTCTATTCTCAAGCTACCATGAGAATCATCTATCCTCAAGCTCCCATAAGGATCGCTAAGTTCCAAAGAGAAGATACACCCGTATCAACGCTGGGTGGTACACTTGATGATCGGCAAGACTAAGAGTAGTGGGAGTTTGATAATGATGGGGCTGGGGCGACGCTAGGAGGCGGGCGACGCTAGGTGATGGGACGCGGGTGATGTTGGGCGGTGGGCGATGCTGGGGTGGCGGACGTGTAGGGGTAGCGCACTTGATGTGGAAGCGGTGATGATCAGGAGAACTGTGATTTTTTTAACTAGGGTTTAATTGATTATTGCTTCGGTTAGAGGATGAATAGGAGTTATAGGGTATGTAAAATTCGGGTTTCAGGTTTTAGTTGGGGCTTCGGGTTTGGTTGTGGGATTTGTTAATAGTAATAGGTCAATTTTAATCCAATTATGATTAGGAGTCCCATCAATGAAGGTAATGGACCTCTTTATTATTAAGGAGACCCAATAACGATGGTATTAGGATCAAATCAATAAAGAGAATGGAAAATATCCCATATCACATCATTTCTCTAATATTTGTAATCACTCGACGAAGGGTTTAAACCTGTCGTTATTATATACACATTAGTGATGGTCAATTGGTCCCTTCACTAATTTTGGTCATTAAATACTAGATTTCTTATAGTGAAGAGATGCTAATGCATCAGCATAGGTATTCTTGAGATGGGGTATATAGTCAATGTAGAAGCCTTCAAAGGAGTTTGGCTAATGCAACGGCTACGGTATAATAGGGAATGAGGTCCTCATTCCTAACTTCATATTCTCTTTTTACCTGATTGACAATGAGTTATGAATTACCATATGCCTCTAGATGCTTCACCCCCAGTTGTTTGGCTATGTCAAGGCCGATTAACAAAGCATTTTATTCGGCTACATTATTAGAGCATGGCTCTGTTAAAGAAACAGCTCGTGGTAGCACATGGTTTTGTGGGTAAATGAATACTACCCCCACTCCGACAATAACTGAGCCAGTAGGGCTTGCTCTTGCTATGCTATCGAAGTATAATTTTCATACCTATTCTTTTGATATGATATTGGCTTCATACGTCTCATCAGGTACATCCTGGTATAATTTGACCTTTCCATTCAATGGGTGATTGGCCATAAGATCACAAATAGCTTGACCTTTCACTGCCTTTTGAGGTTTGAAGTGAATATCATACTAGGATAGCAACAACACCCATCTTGCAAGTCGCCAGTTAAATGCACCGGGTTGTGTCATGAACACCCGTATAGGATTGATCTGAAAAATGACATGTATGGTTTGTCCAACCAGGTAACGTCACATCTTTTAGATTGTGAAGACCAAAGCTAAGCATTCCTTTTCAATAGGAGAATAGCGAGGTTCTGTTGGACCCTAGAGGGGGGGTGATTAGGGTCAAAAGGCTCTAATATGCAGTTTAAAACACACAACA